ACACTGTACTGTATATTTGAAATGAAATTGAGATTTTACCACAAAAACCTTTCGGTTCTCGTATTCTAAAACGTCGTAAAAATTCTTATTCATTCTGTACCACAATTGCTACACTTTGCTTAGATGCACCTGGTAGTGCCGTTTCGGTGATAATCAAGTAAATTTTTGTCCTCGTTCGGCCATGACTCGATGAAGGAAGTTATTCTTGAGAGTTGAGGATCTGAGGGGATGCCTCTGAGGAGGGTTAATCTCGTGAAACAGACACCCTTTTATAAACATTAGTTATATATGTATAAGATAAGATTTAATTGTCCCCTGAGGGAATTGTTTTATGGACACACAGCACTCCTGTACATTTAAATAGAATGCAAACAAAAAAAAAGAAGAAAGGAAAAACATTGCACATTATTCTATTACAAAAAAATAAGAAAAACATTGCACATCACTCTATTGCACACGTATAACACGTAACAACATGTAACATTTATAACACCTCACAAAACATATTGCGCTCAAGTGGGTTGTAAGAGTCAAAATTGTGTTTATCCTTAACATTTGCGTCGACAGCTTTAATGGAGAGTGGAACAAAGGAATGTTTGTATCTGTTTGACTTACATTTGGGAACCCTAAAACGTCTGTCAGCAGGAAGAAGTTGATATTCAGAGTTGAGGATGTGGGAAGGATCTGACATAATTTTTCCTGCCTGTTTGATTATGGATCTTTCAACGATTGTCTACAGGGAGGGGTGCTGTTTCACTCCCACGACCTTCAAAGCTGTGTGGATGAGGCGGGTAATTTGCAATGTTTAAATAAACAGATTACCAAACCACACTGTAATATCATATCTGATACAGCATGGTAAAAGAGTAGCATTACTTCCTGTCGAACCCCAAACGCTCTCCAGAAATTTAAGCGCTGCTTAATTGATGAGCAAACACTCTCAACATGAGTAGACCAGCACAGGTTACGGTCTATGTGTACACCTAAGTACTTATACTGTATGAATCAACCTGAGTGATAAAGTCGTTGTGGATTACTACATGGGAGTGGTCATCAACTGCTCTGGGATCAAAAACAGTTTACAGTCGCAGTCCACTGCCCAGTTCCTCCAGGAGTGTGACTTGACCATGACGCTGAACTCAGAGGTGCCGGGAGTCGAGCTGGATTGTTATGTCCTTAGCAGGCGCCTCTATTCCTCTGCATTACACTTAAACATTCACAGTACGTGAGGACAGGGTTGAGCTCAGCCGTACACTTACGGTAAGACTAGAGTGAATAAAGACGAGATCAATTTCGATCGGCAGAATGAAGTGTGTTGTAGAATGATTCGGAGTCATCACTGTTCAAAACAGACTACAATCCAAATAAAGACTAATTCTTCCGCCATCAATTCAGATCTGACTACAGAGGGGGTACAAAGCTCTCATTTCCTAAATCGGTCCAGACTTGGCCTCCAAGTCTGTCTCCGCCGCCTGCGGACTCAAAACAAGGCGTTGTCTCCATCTAGCGACAGGATACTGTCACTGCACGACTCCTGCTTCTCGTACCGGAGAACGGCCGCCTACGGAGAGAGGCTCCAACTCCGTTATTCCTGACTGTAGTTTCTTTTTTAGGGGCGAGTGCGTTGTTGTTTTAACTTGATTTCATTAGCGGCGTTTTACGGAACGTTATACTTGGGAGTACCCGTGCACAGGCAATAGCTGTGTAGTTCAAACTCGAAGCAGGAAATGCTAAAAACAGGAACTCGTGCTCGTCCGCTGAGAAAGACGCGCGAGTTCCTGCTACTGGGAGCCTGGCGGAGGAGCGCGTGGCCCCAGCCTGTCACGGGCTGAGGTCAGGCGGGGCGGAAGGACTGAGGCAATAATAAAAACAGATTAAAGACAATTCGTGACCTCAAGCCCCCGTTTTACAACATAGAGAGTGCAAATTGCTGCAACCACCGATACTTCGCTGAAGTTGTGCAATTAACCACAGACGGGCAAGAGCCTTTTTGAAATTCATTTAATTATTAAATAAATTATTAAAGTTAATTCAAAAGCACGGGTAAAAGATTGGTCTGAGTCACATCGAATGCACCATTGTTGAAAGGTACTGACTGATACCTGGCTGATAGCTGGAATGGAAACAGAACAGTGGACAGGGCTCTTGAGTCGAGAATGGTTCTGTGTTCAGAGCCCGGGAGGGCCCAGGAGACAGTAAAATACCCAGCCGTAGAGACGGTTGTCCAGATCAGCACTGTACACGCAAGTCTGCTTTTTGATAGACATATCGGCTTAAATAATGTAACAGATAAAAGAAACAAGTGAAATAGAATGAAAGAAACCCCTCGATGTGATTCATAGGGCAATTCTAGAACTCTTAATTCTGGAATTCGAACATTGAAACCACCCCAAAAACACCTTCTCGATGGCACTCTCAATTAGTTATATGACTACACCCGTCCTACTAAGACCAATACAGACAGTATTGACAGACTACAAGCATACCGGACTAGAAGTTCCTTTGCTACTCAGCTGTTGAAACAGATTAATGTGATACGAATTAGACGGACACAGGTTGTGATGCAGCCACTTTGAAATGGAGTGCTATTAGCTGGATGTTTCCTATCGGCTGACGTGTTGATCCTGTCTCATTATGCTGTGCATGTTAATTGGCTGAGGAAGCAGAACTGATGTAAAAGGAAAGCAGTTGGAGATCAGGAGCTGGAACCGACTGCAAGCTTTCTGAGAATTACCCTTCACTCCGGAGTGCATCCGAGCACACCCAAGCACATCCGAGTTGATGCGAACTTCCACAGGCCATCTGAAATGTAGCGAATGAGAACCACAGTTCTGTCGTCTCTGGGCATCCTCCCTTCACAAGCCTGCGCCCTGCGGGATTCTCCCGGCAGTGGGGACATCCCGGGCAGGAGCGAGTGGTCAGCCCCTGCCTCGTGTGCAGCCCTTTCCCGCCGCGCATTGCCAGAGCCACTCGGCGTCGCCCGGGTCTCTCTCGAGCGACGCCCGCCGTGGGGCTTGGGCAGCAGGGGAAACCCTCAGAAGCCCAGCCTTCCTGACCAAAGACAGGAGTTGCAGGAGGAGAAGGGAAACTGGTGCAGTTCGGGTTCAGCTCCGCTCCAGGGGGAGGGTCCCCTCATCTTCTGGGTTTGTCCCCCCCAGTCACAGAACCGGTCTAATCATACAATTGTAACACTTCACATGTAAGAAGTGTTACAATTTTTTTTATTAATTTCCTAAACCAAACCAACCTAGTTTTGGAGCTGGGTTAGCTGTACTTGTAATTGTAACGAATACGGCCTTGCGTATCACAGGGATCTCAGCGGCACGGGCTGAGGGAGGTCTCCTTTAGCTCAGCTGGCAAGTTCCCCATAGCGTGACGCCAGAGACCCGGGTTCGCACCCTGGCAGTGAGGGATGAACAGCAGGGCAGGAGCGGCGAGGGCAGAAACACCAAGAACGTCACAAAATGAAGTGAAAGTTTAGGGTTACCAAATGTAAAAAGCCCTAGGAAACCTCCTATACGTGTCCAAGTGAGAAGATCTTCAGGTTCGTCGTTTAATATCTCAAGAACAAAAGCGAAAGACACTGGGCGTTCCTCAGAGAGCTCAACTGGCCCAGCAGCTGGCAGTTTAAGGGTGTTAACACTGGTGCTCAACCTGGGCCCTGGAGGAGCCCTGTGCGTCTCCCGGTCTTCAGTCCAGGGGTCTCGAAGAAATGTAGCAACTAGAGCTCCACCCTTCCTTGGTTATTAAGCGTGTGCCATCTGATTTCCATCCAAGCAACTTCTAAGAGATGCCGAAGTGCCGGTGGGAATCAGACACTTGCATAGCACGACCCTTTGATCCGAAGAGCTCCACTTACCTCCAGTGCACACACCTGGATGAGAATAGGTGTGGAACAGAGAAATTAGTAAAGATTGATGAGTTACAGCTCTCGTTCAATATCTTAAGAACTGGATGAAAGGTCTTGGCTCACTAGAGAGCATTTAGATCAAGCACTGCTCAAATAACAAAATGGAAGAAATGAGAACATCACAGGGCCAGGACGGAGAAGGTTCTGGAGCTGACTCCTTGAGGCTCTCTCCTGTACGAAGATCTGGTCCTGGGCTAGTCCTGTGTCTTTGTCAGGAGTAACCCGCTAGCAAACGGGAGGATGGACCGTATGCGGTACCTTGGGAGTTAAACGAGAGGCGAAGTCTGATAAGGGATCCGAGGTCCGAGAGGCAAAAGGCACGAACAAAGGTCTCCTAACCAGAGAAGGGCGAGGCAGAGGTCGAAGTCGAGAAGTCTGATCCAAAGGAGGAGAGCAACAAGAGAGTTTCCAAATCCGAGGGGCGAGACGGTAGGCGCAGTCGTAAGTAAAGTTCCGTGGTTGGCAAGAGTCAAGGGTCAAGAGTCAAGGGTCAAGAGTCAAGAGTCAAGAGTCAAGAGTCAAGAGTCAAGAGTCAAGAGTCAAGAGTCAAGAGTCAAGAGTCAAGAGTCATACAAAGGCGAGGCAGGTGTTCTAAAGAGCAATCAATACCAGGCCAAGAGCAGAGGATACAGAGGGGTTTAAGTACTGTGTGAAGAAGAAGGTACGTTGATTGAGGAAGTGTCGTGGTTGGCTGATTTGCAGGGCCGGTGTTGTTTGCCAGAAGTGCTCAGGGCTGGGGTGTAATTAGTGCTGGTGCGTTTCCGTGTGAGAATGCGGTGAGTAGAGGGCGTGACAGTCTTCTTGGATCTTACTGGGATTGTTCTAACTGAACTGTGTTTGGACCAAGAAGCCATTAAATTGCTTGTAGTAAAGAGTAGTTGGTACTGCCTCACAGTCCTGGGGCCCTGGGTTGAATTCCTAGGGTGCTGTCTGCATGGAGTCAACATGAGCTCAGCTGGATGAAAACATGACTGTGGTGCTTTACGATTAGGTCTATGACTCACAACTGTACAGTTACTGTAGAGCATTGGAACAAAAAAATTAAAATGATCCCTAGCTTGATGATAAATAGAAATAAAGAAACAGGATGGGTCAGTAATGCAAGTATTTATAACTTCTGTATTTAACAAAGGCAATTTTTATAGATATATTAAAGAGGCATGTTTTAGCTAATTAGATACATGGAACATTTGTATTTAAAGAGAAGTCAGCCATTCCCCTGAAGAAACAAACACAGTCACAGACTGTTTTAGATTGAAGTTCATAAGAAAGTGGTCTTTAGTTACTCATTGTTGAAATGTCCATTGAAATACACTGTTGAAAAGTAATCCTAGGTGGGAAAGTAATTGTCTAAGCATCAAAACTTGTTTTGGCCTGAAGTCCTATGGAACATCATTCATCCAAAGCCTCTTCAGTCATTCTTCTAGGCACTTATCCCTCATAGCACACAGACCGTTTTTATTACATAAAGGCAAATACCCTAACACAATCTGCAGTGCAACAATAAACAACCAAACCAAATGAGCCATATACAGTAACACATTTCTAATAGACCCTCACTTCCTCAAAGATTTTAATCTGATTTTAATGCCACTGTCTACTCAGAGACATGACTGTACCGCTCTTTCCCCAGCTGATTTCCCACCAAGTCATCCAGAACATCCCTAATAAAGATGTTAACTAATTACTCTCTTAATGAGTCACCTGTTCCAGATAATACCCATCATCTGCTTTGCACACAGACATGCTATAGAACACTTAGCCAACTAAGTAAACAATTATCCAGGCCTTCAGCTAAGACAATCCCATTCGCCTGAATGTACACACTGTACTGTCTGTGGCTACAGTATGGCCAGTGTACACTTGGGTTCACCAACCTGGACCTTGGTGTCCATAGTCCAGCAGGTGTTTTAACATTTTAACAGATCCGATTAAAGGTTTGACGGTTTGCCTGTTTATCCCATTTCCAAAGCCATACGCTTTTCACAAGTTAAATTTACAGGTGATTTTCAGGAGAAGAACAACTGCAATGTAAAAAAAACCCTAATGGTTTAGCTTTCTTTCAAATAAGTAATTAAGATCAGAGGTGGAGTGAAAATCACTGGACCTCATGGCCCCTGAGGAGTAGAGCTGCCTGTTCATAATGTATATGCATGCTTATATATAATGTATATATATACTGCCACATGGAGAGACTACGCCTGTCAAAGGCACACGCTAAAGGACACGGTACATTAATATTTATGGGGTTATGACTACAGAGGTTTCATGGTTTCATTTCAGCAGAGTGCTTGGATAATTAATTGAACCAATTAATTGCTGAAGGGAGCAGATGAAGCACCGTCTCCGGGCCTGAATCTCATAGAGATTTAAAGTGACCCTGCACGACCCTCAGGACTGCAGCCCAACACAAGCAGCTCAGCCCCGCGTCGCTCAAGATCTGCTTTGCTCCAGCTTTTCTAAGGCATAACAGGCTTCAGGACAACATCACCCCCTGTCCCGGAGAGGGGAAGGAGAACCACACAGTAAACATCCTGCTAAAAACACAGGCCCATAGAGACAAGAGACAAGAGACATGAGAGCGAGAATCACATTTCTACAGTACAAACGTTTCCCGGGCTAACAGAGAGTAACGCATACAGTACATACAAGCAGCAAAGCAGTTATGCTTGTTTAAAAATGAATACATCTATAGCAAACAGTCAGGCAGTGCCTGCTTTGCACGGAAACTCCCTGGATACGGCGGTGTCGTCACATTTTAGTGGAAAGAAAAGGTCCAGTGCCCAGTGCACACCTGAGAACTGGCAACACGGCGGATCTGCCGGACAGATCCGCGCGTGACTAGAGGTCACAGTGTAGATCGTGGGAGAGCTTCACCATGCTCCGACTTCACTGGGCAGGGGCCCTCAGTGTCTGGGCCTCCAGAGGCAGGCGAGCGGCCGGAGCGCGGCCCCCAGCAGGGCTCGGTAGGCCTGGTTGAACTGCCGGTTCATGGCAGCGTACAGCACGGGGTTGATGCAGCTGTTGAGCCAGGTCAGGTTGGCGCAGAACATGTGCAGCGCCTGCGGGGCGCGGCTGCGGGCGTCCAGGATGTTGAGCAGCAGGAAGGGGGCGAAGCTGAACACGAAGCACAGGAAGACCGTGAAGCACATCCGGGTCACGCGCTTGAACTCCCCGTCCTCCCCGGGGGAGGAGGCGGCCGGGTTGGGGGCCGAGGCTGGGGCCGGGGCTGGGGTAGGGGTGGACGCTACGTAAGTGGGGACTCCTGACTTCCTGCTGGGGGCTTCCTGTGATTGGTGGGCGGTGGGGGTAGAGGCGGCGGTGCCTGGCAGCTGGCTCCCGGGCTTGTCGGGACAATGCCGCGGGGTCCCGCTGGCGTCCGCGCTCTGCGTCTCCGCCTTGCCCGGGCCGTGGCCGCTGATTTCCGTGCTGTGAGTGGCGCTCCCGCTCTCCACGCCGCTGTCCGCCTCCGGCGGGGCGCGCTTCCGGCTGGAGCGCCGGCTGAGCCGGTACTTGTCCAGGGCGTGCGCGGCGACCCGCACCTTGCGGTAGATGAAGAAGTAGAAGAGCCCCACGCAGCCCAGGCTGAAGAAGAAGTAGAAGAAGAGCAGGATGGTGGTGTAAGGGCGCCCCCTGGTGCGGTGGAAGCTGCAGGTGCAGACCTGGGGGGCGAAGACGTAGACGGGCCACAGGGGCCCGAAGCTGGCCAGCGCCAGGCCCCAGGTGGCAGGTAGGAGCAGCGCCAGGCCCCGCCGCGAGAAGACGCGCTCGAACACGGGCCGCCGGGCTATCAGCAGGTAGCGCCCGGCGGCGATGAGGCACAGCGTGAGGATGGAGACGGCGTTGGAGAGGAAGAGGAGCAGGCCGAAGATGCGGCACCAGCTGGCGCCCCCCCGCCAGTGCAGGTGCAGGTAGGAGTCCACGCTGGTGGGCTGTAGCACCGCGCAGTACAGGGTGTCGGCCACCGCCAGGTTGACGATCAGCACGTTGAAGCGCGTCTGCAGGCGCCGGTCCGTCGCGAAGGCCAGCACCGTCAGCACGTTGCCGACCGTGCCCACCACCACCACCAAGGAGCCCCACAGCACCCCAAAGTAGCGGTACCCCACCACGCTGGGATGGTAGCAGGAGAAGGAGTCGTTACCCAGATCGCTGGTCCCATTCACAGACATCCTGCCAGCAGAGAGGAGCATTAATTCACAGCAGACAATACTCTACCTGCAGCAACACATGACATGCTTTTACAAGGAAAATGGCCTAATGTTAAATTACAGAGGAAGGGAAAAGACCCTGTTACATTCAACTGCAGGATTGAGATTCCACTAATTGGTTAATTACATAACTTGTGAGCCTTAATTGGTTAATTAATAATTACTCATTACTTGACTGTTAACTGCAATCCAGTATCAAGGTCATCTACATCAGTGGCTCCCAACCCTGGTCCCGCAGGAACACTATCTGCTGGTTTTCATTCCTGCTGAGATCGAAATCTCCAGTGCTAATTGGCTTTGTTTAGGTGGTTGCTTGTTTAGACTTTTATCTTAATTTGTTTCTTCAGTGAGTCCCGAGTGTGTCAGAAATACCCCCACTTCAACAGTGTGCTGTACTGTTTCCACAGCTTCAGCACACAGATCTTAACAAGTCTTTTCTGAATAAACAGCTCTTAGTAGTTGATGAATTGATGATGAACATTTATACAAGAACGTAAAAATGTTGCTGCTGTTCCTTGTTCACCACTAGATGGCGACCCAGCTACTCTAATTTACAATACTGAGCACAGGTTTATACACATTCTGAAATATACTGCTGCTCTGGAATTGGTCCAAAGAACAGGAACCAAATAATTCTGAACATTGAACCAAAATAATAAACTCACAGACTGAAGTACCTGAATCTTTTCAGTTTTTTTTTACCACCGAAGACTACAAGTGGACCTGATCCAAGTATTCAAAACACTCAAAAGTATAAAGTCAACCCAACGGACTTCTTCAGTGAAACATGATTAGAGAACAAAGGTGGAAACTACTATTCATGGAAGTGCATATAAGACTGAGACCAGGAGACTGTTCTCTACAGAAAGGGTGGTGGGACAATGGACCAAGCTACCCAGCCATGTAGCTGTAGACAATTCCCAGGTGTTATTTAAAAAAACACCTGGGTGAGATCCTGGGATCAGTTAACAATTAACTACCAAATGGGTCAGCGGGGCTCATGTGTCAGCTGAATGTTAAGTTGTTGTTTTACTATTTATCGAATTAATCTAAGTTATCTATTAATCTAATTAGAGTGGTTGTTAATATATATATACTGATGAAAAAAGAAACGCAACATTTTCTGGAATGAGTATACTATAGTTATATCTTATGTACTTTCACAAAACGTTGTGAATTTGTTTTAAGCCCTCTGACCAGCAATACAGCTTGAGCAGTGAGGCATTACAACTTGCCAATCGCACAAAAGCTCGTTAGGTGCACTTTTACCCACGAAGTCCAGGTGGAACGATGCCTGATCAGGTCACCTTTAAAAAGGCCTTAATTCAAAGGCTAGGTCACTACAAGAAAAAACCCACAGAGTCAGTCAGTTTTCTGGGCAATCCATATTGCCTCGAATGTCACCAGAAGCAAGGGAGAGGGCCATTGGCATGCTGCAGGCAGGCATGTCATGTGCCAGCATTGCCAGACACTATGGAGTAAACCACTCCACTGTGTCCCAACTGCAGAGGAGGTTTCAGCAGACCGACAGGACAGATGACCGTCCAAGATCCAGTCGCCCTTGAGTGATCACGCCAGAGCAGGACCGACACATCAGACCGGTT